TCCTGCAGAACTCGTCTGTCATCTAATAATCCCTGTGGCATATTCTGTGTGTGTGACATGACTCGAGTGGCTTGTGTGCCTAGGTTTGAATGTCTCCCCTTTCAAAGAAGCATATTTTCTTTTCAGGTTGGATATTGGAGTACAAAAAGCTGATATTTAGATGTAGGCTGCAGTGGTGCATGGCTTGCAGTGAGAGAATGACTTGCTGTGGCTGCGGACTAGTCCAGTATTTACAATTTATTTACTTTTAGGGTTACCCGGTAAGGCAGCAAGGAGAGAATAAATAAAATGAGGTCTTGTGGAACAGCTGTGCAAAACAAAATCTCAATTATAGGCTCAAACCCCAGATGCCCCAGCAGGGTTATTCGCACCAAACAAACATAAAAGGGCCTTTCTGTCCCTAGCCCTCTATTATTGCTGTTGCTGGATGTGCGGCCTAAGTAGCACACTCCGTGCTCAGTGCTCTCTCAATAACTTGCACTGTAGGTTGTTCCAGTTTTAGGTTTTATTTTTCTCCCTAGTTGCTACTAAACGCCAACGCGTCAAGCATTACCAAAACTACAAACCAACACTACCTATTTTAGCTTACTTAACCAATATTATAAAAGCTGTCTTCACAAACATTTCTCCCATAGATAGAGCTGAAAATCATGCCCCTTGGCTCCTCCCTCCATTTTTGATGAGCTGTCCTTGATCACTTGAGATCAGTCCTATCCACTTTGGGGTAGCTAGAGCTCTCTAGGGACTGTCTCTGTCACACTTCTCAATAGGACTGCTCCTGGAATGAGGGGGGCAGAATCAAGTCCATACTACTTTACATCTTCCAAACACTTAAACATGGACTAATCTTCAGAACACCCCATGAAATACATAAGTATTTACAGGTTGGAAACTGAGGCACACAGAGGTTAAATGTCTTGGCCAAGGCTTCAGCGAGTCCCCAAAGAGGGAATAGGACTCCTGGTTCTCTCTCCAATGTTCAGTCTAGAGCACAACGATCTATACCAGCAAGCTATGCAAAAACACAATAATGTCCAGAATTATTACTTCTAATACATCTAAACATCCCAATGAAGATCAGGGACCCATTGTCCTGGGTACTGTGCCTACACCTAAGAGAGAGTCCCTGCCTCAAGGAGTTTACAAGCTACGTGAACAAGACACATAAACGTGAAGGGGAAAAGGAAATATTATTACCTCTACATTATAGATGAAGAACTGAGTCAGAGAGAGATTAATTGACTTGCCCGAGGTCACATAGGAAGTCACTGGCAGAGCTGGGAATTCAACCCAGGTCTCCTGAGTCCCAGTCTCATGCCTAAAGCATAAGACCATCCTTCCTCTCCAGAACAGGAGATACATTCAAAGGACTTCTGAGTTCTGGTAAATTTGCCATTTCTTCCTCATTTTATCTTAACCTTATAGTTAGAGATACATGTGCATCCAATCTACTCATGGGTAGGGGATCATGTGTGTTGCAATAAGTCCAAAGCATTTGATAAATTACTGTGGCATTCAAGATGCAAATCTTACTGGAGCAATGCTTTCATTTAAAATCTGTCTTTTCCCCGGTATGCTATGGATAAATGTAAGTTCATCATTAGTAAGTGACATTAAAAAATAATTAACAGGTACAAAACTTGCCCCACTAGTTGTTGTCACATGCTTGCATTTCAAAAACATCTATAGACATGCATCACTTTAGAAAAGCAAATGCTATTTAAATAGCAAATAAATCAAATCAGCCCACAGCTTGGACTTCTGATGGAATAAAGGAGGGAAAATGGCCCTGATCTCCATTGTTGTGAGTTTGGCACCTCAGTACCTTCAAGGGTCTGGGCCAATGTAACCACAATTCTAATGTAGCTTCCCCCCATGACCATAAAGGATCTGCATCAGATCTGAAACACTTTTTATTGCTAGCCTCACTTAGCAGCATATTCAATTAACTTAAGGGTTTCTGAAGAGCCCTCTGCAAATGCAGGTTTTGACAAGAATGTAAATGTTCGTGTGAATATGGCAAAGCTGTTCCTGACAAATGGATATTTGAGATAATTATAAAACCACACTCTCAAGCCCTCATCCTCTCCTTTGTCAGTGTTTCTCAAACTGGGGCCATCGCTTGTGTAGGGAAAGCCTCTGGTGGGCCGGGCCGGTTTGTTTACCTACCCCGTCCGCAGGCCCGGCTGATCGCGGCTCCCAGTGGCCGCGGTTCGCTGCTCCAGGCCAATGGGAGCTGCTGGAAGCGGGGCCAGTATGTCCCTCAGCCCGCGTCGCTTCCAACAGCTGCCATTGGCCTGGAGCAGCAAACCGCGGCCAGTGGGAGCCACAGTCGGCCGGACCTGCGGACGGGGCAGGTAAACAAACCGGCCCAGCCCGCCAGGGGCTTTCCCTACACAAGCGGCGGCCCCAGTTTGAGAAACACTGCGGTACACAGAGGAAGTCTCTGCATGTTGTAGCACCAGCAAAGCAGCTCTACACCATCCCCTCCCTAGCCTCAGTTTGACAGGAATTGCCCTATGATTGATAGACAGTCAGATATAAACACCCTGAGGAAGCTCTAAGGTGCACCAGGGACCAGACTGGCAACAGATCCTCTACCTCCCCTTGCTAAACTGTACTCAGCACAGCTCTGGCAAGGACCTTAGAGTCTGAAGCCACTGATAGCCTAGTGTTAGGTTACAGATTTCTCATCAGCACTAGGTTCTATTGTAAACTACTACCACTACTTTGTATTTATTTATGCGCTGCTTTATACTTCAGAGATGCTGGCTAATCTATTATTCCTTAAAACATCTGTATGAAGCTATGCTGAATGTTATGATGCCCATTTTTCAGATGGGAAAGCTGAGGCAGAGAGGCTCAGTGACCTGCCCAGACACTAAATCAGTAAGCAGAGCCAGGATTAGCACACAGGTGTTACTAATCCCTCCACTCTGCACATTCAATCTAGACCACACTATCTTGTTCTTTTGATCTACAAACCACACTGTACCAGCTTCAGGAATCCCGCCAGGATTATATTTTGGGAGCAGTCTCAGTCACCACTGCACTCTATTTTGGTGAGCATGTGATTATTGAATGACAACAACTCCTTATAGCTGGGCTGCTGAGTCCTGTTGCTGCCCTCCAGCTGTGCCTAGCTCCCTGGTCCTTGAAGACAATTTCTGCTAAAATTAGCTGTGGTAGGTGGAATTGCTTCAAGCACGGGGTAATTTTGATGCTCCTATAGTCTGGCTAGGAGCCCATTTGCTTTTTCCTCATTGTTTTGTAACTCAGATAAGAACCAAGAAGCACTGGAGATAGGATTATAGATCATAGCTCTAAACTTTAGTTTTGTTTGCTATACATTATAAGCTTCCATTGCAGGCAGGGAGCATTTTGGAAAAGATGCAGAAATAACGGGATAAAAATAAATGTCTGTATTTTTGGAAATTTTTTTGCTAGGGGCGGAGTTGAAACCTGGGTGTGGAACATTTCTCTTTTTCTCCATCACCTTAAAATGGCTTCCCTGTTACCAGTTTCCAGTATCAGTCACTCAATGGCTGTTTGAAGGACACACCATTGTATTTCACACTTACCTTTGAAGTTTCATCCAACCCTTTGAAATGGTTTCCCTCCCCCAATAAAATCAGCTAATTGGTAATAACCCCATACAAACAAAACCAGACTTGAATTCAAAATAGTAATTTAGGTCAATCATCTCTGTCCGTAATTCCTCACCTCTTGAAGAGTGTCCAGAATTGAAGAAAGCCTTCCTGTGTGGCATAGCTTCCTTTGCGCTATTTTCAGACTTCATGAACTGCTTCATTATGAGAGGGCTTTCAACACAGAAAGAAAGAAAATGGGTTGGTTTGACAAAACAACTTGGCAGGTTGGAGCGCTCTGACAGCAAACAGTAGGCAACTGACTTAAAGCGATTTGCTTGGCTTCAAGTCCAGATTTCCCCTCACCCTGTTTATGGAATATTTTAGCCACCATTCTAAAGACAGTGGAAATAAAACATACTGTGGAGGCTATTCATTGTTTTTTTTAAATAGGAATGGGCAAAACAAACCAGTTCAGCTAAAATAAGGATTGAGTAGAACCTTTGCCTGTGGGATCCCATTGGTTGATTTTAACATTTCATTTTAGGGGCATCATTTTTTAATTATATTTTATTATTTATTTGTATCACTGTAGTGCATAGAGGCCCCAGTCAGTAGTGGGGCCTCATTGTTCTAGGCACTAGGTTTGTACATTCTAAATACACTAGACAGACAAAAGATGGGAGCTCACAAGCAGAGACACAGACACATTAAATGATAGGTCACATAGCCGTTCTGTGGCTGATTGAACCCAAATCTCTTGAATCCCAGTCCTGTGCTTTAACCACAAGATCATCCTTCCTCTCTATATTATGCTGTACAGTTCTCCAGTGTCTTGGCACTGGGTGTGTGGTTTTCTTAATTATCCTTAGTATTCATTTACAGACAGATCTTCTTTGATGCATGTTCAAATTCACAACGCTCAGTATTGCTTGTACTGGTACAATGTCTTTGGTAATGCATGGGAGCCTGTTCAGCATTGATCCAAGTTCATATTTTTATTTACATTTGCAACATATTGCCATTAGATTCATTTCAGTGGGGATGATACTGGATGTGTGGGAGCTGGCTGTTAAGTCTTTCAACATTTGCCCATTCTGGAATCTGCATTTGCAAAATCTAAGTAATAAACAGTCCAGAAGATTTCTGAGAATAAACCACAAAGTGCTAGTTATTTGAACAGGTATCAGCAGTGTGTGAGACTGTCCAATAATTTTAATTACAAAGTACAAATACAGACACGAGTTTCAGGTTTACTAAATATTAGGGGCCTGATTATCCAAATTTAATCAGAAGCAACTCCACTGCGTGTCAAACAATTGGAAAGGATAGGAAAATTAGGCCCTTGTAAACAATGAATATGTTAACCTGACTAGTTTTTTTCTTTGTTTTAATTTTTTTTTCCTGTTTAAGGTACTAACCTGCTTAAAGAAGAAAAGCAGACAGTGATTGTGGAAGATGATGAAAAGGATGGCGAAAAAACCCTTATTTAAGATTATTGTGATATCTCCAAAACTATTGTAAATAATTCCAGATCATTCAAAATGGTAGCATATAACAAAGCCCATTTGTTTTTATAAATAATTTTTGAAAGCATGCACTGCATTTAAGCTAGTACCAAATGCTTATCTGTAAATGGCTAGCATTGGAAAAGATGAAAGTAAATAGACTTGTGGTTAGGGTTGGAAGAAATATCTTGTATTATCTAGCCCTATCATGCAGAATTTTTCTACACTGATCCCATCTGAAGACAAAAAATTTTTTGGACATCTCTAACAGTGGCCACAAGGGATGCCAGCTAGCCATTATAGCTAGCACCACATAACAGGGTGGGAGCTGTGAGTGTGGGACACCCACTAACTAACGACAGGCTTCTCTTGAGAAGAGAGCTGCTATAGGTCTATCCCACAAAAGGACAGCACCGGGCAGAAGTAGGCCAGCTTCTACACCACCACCCCTTTTTCCCATGGTTGTGAAAATGTGGCTAAAGTTTTTAATGTGTGTGTGTGTCCTGATTCTGTGTTTCATTACACCAGCTTTACTCTGGTGGAATATCAGTGACTGAGGTGAAGTTACACTAGCATAAAAGTGAACAATCAAGTCCACAGGTCCTAAAATTGAATCCAAATGTCTCTTGCATGTACAGTATAAGTTCAGTACCCATATTTGTAATTTTCTCCTTTGTTATAACCTGTGAGTTTGCTCTAATACCAAAAATTAGTACCTCATAAGAGCCATCAACTTTGAAACCTTAAATATTACAAAGCACACTGCTATCAGAAAAGAAGCTTCCTAGAAGAGCAACGTTTGTAATTTATACTAGTATGTATTATTGAATTTTTAGTGTCAAAGTTCTTTTTTCCAAAGTTGGTGGAATATGAACTAGTTGGGTAGCTGATCTTTTAATCTGCATGTTTTCTTTTGGTAAGTGCTTTTAATTGAAACCTAGCCTGTTAGATTAAAAATCCTTGCTGGAGAATTCAGAGATAATCATACACAATGTTTTCACAATATTTTGTGGTAACAGTAATTTACAAGTTAATTCATACAAAATGTCTCACAGTGAGTCACGGACAATTACGATCAATATAGTTCAAACAAATAGAACTAGGTACCTAAAGAATGTGACACAAAACAGATGGTCTGTGTGTAAAAACTGGGTGTTCTCATGGTTGTTCCTACTAGGTATCCACCCGTACAAAGCTCCAACCCTATTAACATCAATCTGTCCTTTATTGAGTCCTTGACAATCTCAGCAGAGAGGGCAAAGGCTGTGTAGCCTAGCAGACGGAATTCAATTATCCTTTTACTGTCCAACATGCTTACCTTTTTAAGAGGTAGGGTGACCAGACAGCAAATGTGAAAAATTGGGACGGCGGTGGGGTGTAATAGGAGCCTATATAAGAAAAAGACCCAAAAATCGGGACTGTCCCTATAAAATCGGGACATCTGGTCACCCTATTAAGAGGGCTGAGGAACACTGGTTGTAAGGAATCTTACAATATAGCTACTTCTGCTGTACCTGAGACTTCAGTTTCCAAAGCTATTGATCCAGCAACATTCACGAGCATTCAATTCATTAATAAATATTTAGAGGCAATGTATACCTTGTATGGTAAATCAATGACAATACCATAAAAATTACATAGCTAAACTTGTACAGTGGATTAGAAATTATGAATTGGCTATTTGACAGGTATTTTTTTGCTGAATATTAATGTATGGAGTAGATTAAAATATTAACAGAAACCCACATATCAAATAACAATATTAATGTATGGTGAGCAGTGAGTGTATGTTACAGGTAATGCTTTGCAGTTCAAGTTACGATTAATTTCCTCATATGGTCTACCTACAGTGCCAATGCGCTAATTGTTTTTGAGCTATTATTATGTAGGTCATGGTGGTGGTTCTTTATTCACAGTTTTCTTTTAAGTAGTCAATGAGGGACAGCAATATCTGTACCTCTGTCCTCTTTCTTAATGTAACACGCCTTTTCCAGTGGAAGAATTTCCCACACCCTACTCCAGTTGTCACAATCAGTGGGGAAATTGCGTATTTGATCCTAGCACATCACCGTTCAAGTAGCCCGAGCAGTGTGTCTGGGTGAGGTGGCATGGCCTAGTGGATAGAGCACTGGACTGGGACTGTGTTCTAGTCCTGGCTCTGCTACTATCCTGCTGGGTGACCCTTGGGCAAGTCACTTTACCTCCCTGGGACTCAAGTTCCCATCTGTAAAATGGGGATAGCAATACCTCCTTTGTAAAGCACTTTGAGATCTACTGATGAAAAGCACGAAATAAGAGCTAGGTATTTTTAGCAGCAGCAGGATGATGACGTTTTCCCCATGACGTGAAGTGGAAGCAGAGCTACTACGTGGCCAGCTCTGGCAGTTCAGGCCTACATATGGTGGGATCCGCATGGTGAATCAAGATGGATGGATAGCCATCAGCTAGGCCATTTCCTCTCCTCTTCCTCCACCCCTTCTCCCAAAGCCTTGGAGTAAAGGGAGGCCCTATGAAGTACAACCCAGCAGCATGCAGTAGCTCCAGACACCTGTATGGACTCTCCACACTTTTCTTGCCTGTATAAGGGTTGTGTGTGTCATGAATTTACCTACCTCCAAGAAGCTTATAGTCTCCATACTAAACTCATTCCTGGTTTAACTCTGTTGATATCAGAGATACAGCAGAGTTGCTAAGATTGCTGTATTGCGAATGGTCCTGTAGGCTGCTGATTATCTTGGAGCCTACAGGCTGTTGAGCACTGCTTAAGGATGTGCAGAGAGCAACAGCCTTCATGCAAAGTAGCTCTATTTCCACACTGATGTGAGCACTGCTGAGTAGGGGGGAAAGTGAATATTGAGAGGTAGAGACAGTATGTGGCCAGGTCATAGGAACTTAAGTGCAATAATGTGAATACAAATGGCATCTGTAATAGCACTGCTAAAGTTTTTCAGCTCCTCCTGTTGCCAGTCAGGAGTACTTCCTGACCCGAGTACACTCCAGAGCAGCCATAAAGGCCAGCCACTCACACAGAAAAGCATCTGGGGATTCTCCGAAAACAGTATTTCTCCCAGCCAGCTGCTGAATGCCACATGGCAATTGCTGGGTACAGCGCTGATCCTCCAGCACTTGCTGGGTACAGCGCTGACCCTCCAGCACTTGCTCCTCTCAATTTACATCATGAGTCAAAAGAGCTGCTTACCCTGCTTAGCAGCCGAGGGGTAACTCAGAGCTGCTGTCTCAACCCTCAGCTGCAGCACTGAAGACCTGAGCCCTGTGTCTCCAGGAAAGTGAAAGTTCCAGTCTCATTGCCAAACCCAGATATGTTGTTGCCAGGCTGCTGGGTCAAGTTCGGGGTAGCAGTGTGGATCCCAAGGCATCTCATCCAACTGAAAATAAATGTGCTTCAACAGTGTCTCCTCTGCATGACTTCAAAAGGAACATTTTCATCCAATAATGCAGCCTTTCCTGATGTGTGGAGCGTGCCCCTGATAGATGTCTGTGGGTGGGTCTCCCATGGAGCCGCCATGGTGACGAGGAAGATGTAGACATTTAGATGGGTAAGCCTTTAACACCACAGGGCAGGGGTGAAAATAGGGAGAAACTGGCTTCATTTTTCTGAAGGTGTCTGTTTCAAAAGCTCGGAAATGTTAACCTAGTTTGTTAGTTCAACACAAGCCATTTACACTTTAAGCACTGTCCATTTTTTAAGCAGAAGTTACATCCCCAGTGACACCTCACATCTAAATGTACCATCCCCATATAGACCAATGCAAAAGCCAGCAATAAAAAGCCACTGAATAAACCGCTAGGTGTAATTCATTTTAAAAAAATATGCATATTCATAAGTTGTCAAATGTCCATTTATTATTTTCCACCTACAAAGCTATTTGAGCAACTGGAAAGTCATTTCCATTTGGGAAATTGGTGAACGGTAGGCTTTTGCTCTGTTCACTGGCAGGGCCAATATGTATGTAACCCCTTTGCCAGGTGGTGTCAGCAGCAACAAGGGCCGGGTTAAATATCTAGGGGTTCCTTTTAACAATACAAAACAGAACTGGCTCGAGCCCTCACCCGATAATTTGGGGAAATTAACCACAACGCCTGGGCTCCTCAAAGGGGCTATACTTCTCTCTCGCAAACACTGAGTCTGTGTATACCAAAAGAAAACTTTCATTAAAAGGGAAAGGGAGCCCAGCATTAAATTGGGGATTCAGAATTCAGAGCTGCATTTGTGTAGGTTCACCTCCCACCCCTGAAAAGGTGGGGGAGAGGGACAAGCAGTGCCTCAGCTGCTGCGGTTATCTTTGCCACCGCTTGCCACTGCCTCTGTTGGCCATGGGTGTGCTGTTTTCTCTGCCATCACTGGCCACTCACTGCCACTTCTGTGATGCTGCATTCTCAGGTTCCGTGAATTAGCCCACGTCTTAGTGATTTCAGATCTTAGCAATTACACTGGGTAGTGGGGGAACCTCACTGCTTGTGCAGTCTCTGTGTTCCCTGAAACACTGTCCCTGCACCAGGCGCAAGGTGTAGCCCCTAAACCTGTCCATCAGTAATTTTAGCCCTGGTAACCACTGAACAGAAACGAGGCCTTTCAATTAAGTCTAATCAGCTCAGTCTTTAAACACTTGAGAAGGGAGGGTCAAATGGCATCAAAGACTCTAAAAGCAGAGTTCCCACACTCAGGTAGGAATACCTGTCCTCATCCCCCCTCTCTTTCACTGGGAGTTGGCATCCCTGCCCCCCCCGCTTAGCAAGTGAGGTTCAGATCAGGGTGACCCCCTCAATCAGGGTGTGCTAAGTACAGTCCTGCTGCTGTTTACTCGTACAATAAGGATAACATTTCATTACCCCTGCGTTCAATACTAAAGTGAATTGTAACCCAAAACCAGCCAAAATTGATCACTTTGGCAAAGCAGGTCTGTCTGCTGAACATCTAGGAAGACTGGGTGTCTATGTGAATGCTTTCTGCTCCTGAAGTCTTTCCCTCCAGTTCATCATTAGATGTCAGGGGAAAGCTCATTCAGACCCTGCTTACGTGTATAATTTCTCACTGCTTTCAACTGCTACATTACATGAAGAGACGTCACTTCCATATTACTTTCTATGGGAACTGGTCATAAAGAAATCTTTAAAACCTTTTAGGACTCGCAAAAGCAGGTCACAGTGCTACAAGCTGTGTGTGTATGTATGTAGCACTTTCCCCTTCTGAACGACTCTGAATCTGAACCTCTCCATTGCCACAGAGAGCCAGAGGCTGCTAGGGCAGCAGGGGTTGCTCTCTAACTCAAGTGGCAGCCAATTGTCCTTTTTGAGCAGACATGCTTTACCCCCTTCCCCTCCCCCACCCCATTCTCCCCGTGAAGTTCCAAGTCGCCATGGCACACAGGGCAGCAACCACACAAGGTTCTGAGACAGCCGCAAAGGCCCAAACCCTACAAGGTATTTCAGAGCCCACCTCTCCATTCAATCAGAGGTAGGCACCTAAA